ATATACAAAACCGCAACGAGAATGAAAGGCTGATAGCGGGAAGACTGGATGAATGAAGTTATAGATTGTTGCGGTTGGATAGTGAGGAACTGTGTGTTTATAGACAGATAAAAGTACAAGGAAACAAGGGTTTCGGGTTTTGTGGGAAGACAAAAGATAGATGTGCGGACGGAACAGGATGACAGGGATTGGGAGTGGGGGAGGAGGAGAGGGATTACTTCTGAGATGACAGAGAGGGAGCCGAAAAAGGAGGAAGGAGGGGAGGAGGGGAGGAGGGGAGCAGGTCAGGATTTAAAGTAGCGGGATGAGGAGCGATATCAACAAGGCAGTGGAAAGACAGAGAACTGGTGTGAGATATGGTAGATTGTGTGAGTGAGCTCTGGTCATAATTTGAGGGGACGAGGGAGCCCGATAAAGACAGGAAGACGAAACCAGATAAGATTTAAGCTGTACGCGCGCACGTGAGTGAATGAGAACTAGAAGTGGGTGTACTTCGGTTTTTAAACATCCTGTTAACCGGATAATGTCCCAGAAGGCGCTGACTGGCCTCACAGTCAGCTTTTGGACAGGATTACTGTGCAGATTTATAAAATGTCTTTCTTGGATTTTTGATAACATATTATTTTTTTATGCGGACGTCGAATTCCAATCAGCTCTGGCTGGCCCTGACTCAGAGAGTCGAAGTGGGTGGTTGGCGGGTGCTCTGGTGTGGTTTGCTCCTTCTTTCCTATCAAACATCTGTCGTCCTGATCTTTTGTGTTTGTTACTCTCTTGTAACACCTCTATTCTTCGGCACTTGTATGACCTCATTGTGTTGCAAGTGCCGCAAAGCTCTTACTAAAACTAAAAGGAGGGGTGGACTCTTTTTATTTGAACAGATTTTATGCAGTGTGAAATAGTATGACTAAAACGTCAGTTCTCTCTCACCGGGGAAAAAGGATGACAAACTATTCTTTTTGCATAGTGCATATCATTTTCAACACTGCGATTTGTGGTTTCTTTTTTCCGCTAAATGCTGTCAGAGATGTCCCGAAACTTAGTCACTGCACAGCTCAAGCTGGTTAATTGCAAACAAGTACATAATGTGAACGCTAAATCCGGTTTATCTGGAAATAAAATATTGCCCAGCCCTACTGAGAACAGCAACAAGTCAGTGAACCCCGGCACCTCGATGACGGAATAGTTGGCAACAAAGAGATGCCTTTTTTAAACATTGTGTTCCTCCTGAGAGGAAATGATGGCCGTATCAGGATGTGTGACCAAGGTCAGGATCTGACCTAGATACCAGATGAGTACGTGCGGCTTGCTGCAGAAGACTCCTGGTTTCTGGCAAGTTCTGATTAGAATCTGCTATATTCCTGTCTTGTCATGTCATATTGGGTGTCGCGGAGTCTTCGGTTAGCAGAAAGTGGATACGCAATTCCGTTTGATAAAATGAAGGTGGTGTTCACTGCTGCTGTTCTCCACGGATATGTGAGACATCATGTGCAGGTGGTTATTGCAGTATAAAACACTCGAATGCTGCCTCAATAAAACACAACCTACTTAGAAATAAAAGGGGAGAGAGAAAAATAGTACGTTTTATCTTTTAGTTTCTGGTAGTAACCACCGGGTTAATTCTCTCTGTCGTAAATCTCGCCTCTTCAGAGTGAGAAATGTATACTGTATTTTGCTTACCTCATCCGTTCTACGTGTTGGCATACATGTTTTACAATTCTTTCCTTTTTTCCTTTTCTTAATTTAAAAGCATTTTCAATTTACGTGTACATTTTAAAAAATTTTCAATTTACCTGTACAGTTGTTTGCTTTGTTTTCTTTCTTTTTAATAATTTCTTTATTTGTTTGTTTTGTTTGTTAATTTCAAAAATATTTTTGGGCGTTTTTCTTATACTCCTGAGCTGTCAAATTTTATATAGTGTTTCCTCTACAACATTTTTGCTATATCTGTCACTCGGCAGTGGGTTGTTGGCAGGTTCTCAGGTGTGGTTTGCTCCTTCTTTCCGGTCGGCGGGAAGATGTTCTTTTACTTGTCTTGTTTCTTATTTTCTACTTCGGCTGAGTTTTTCAAAACCTAATCACTTTCCAAATGGTAAAATGGTGAATGATACAGCTTTAACTCCCCTACCAACACTGTTACTCACTTTCCGCCTCTTTAAGAGCTCAACAGTGTTGTAAGAGGTGTCAAGCCAATACAATTTCATGTTAAGTTAAAATTATATTTAAAAAAACAACTACAACTAATCTTATGTTTCCTTCATGACCATTCAAAACTAACTGAAACGTTTTTCTCTCTCTCTCTCTTCTCCCTCCAGGACTATGTCTTCGAAGCGGAAGAACACGCCCACGAAGTTGTCCAAGGAAGAACGACTGAGCGGCCACACCTCCCCAGGCCTGAATGCCTGCTCGCCGGACGACCTTGACCTTGACTCAGACACGGACGGGGAACAGGACAGAGGTCAGTTCCTCCAGGAGGCGACCACTGGTCACTCCAAACACGACACCAGCCCGCAGTTTTCCTCCGAGGCTGGGAGAGACACCACGGTCAGAGGGGAAGGTGAGAGCTCTGATATTGTTGGACTTGAGGAAGACGAAGACGAGGAAGGCTCTGAACGCCAGCATTTCTCCGAGCCTCTTGGCGAGTCTGTGAACTTTGACATTGACGAGGGCGAAGAGGACGCTGCGTCTATCAGATCGGCCGGAGCGACCGGGGCAGCAGCAGATTTGGGTGGAGCTGATTACGTCTCCGATTCGGAATTGGACACTGTCCGCGATCCAAATCCACATGGTTTGACGTCAGACTCCAACGGCGCCGCCCTAATCGCGTCATCATCCACCGCATCTTTGACGTCATCGACCAACAAATCTACTTCTCTATCCTCAACGTCTACAGCAGGATCATTCAATAACAACAATAACAACAACAACAATACAAACAACAACAATAACAAAAGATCTATGGAGACGGTGCTGAGAAAACTCAGCTCCAAAGCGTCCGACGTTGCCATAGAAACGGCCATGGCGTCGAGTGATAACCAGGGCGAGAGACCGATGAGTCCCAAAGTCATGGACACCGTTCAGGCGGTGCTGGCAGGGGAGGCCACTCTGAGCGAGAAGGAGAGGCAGATCAGTGAGATGATCAACCATTTACAAAACATAAGGGAAAACCTCAGCAAGCAAAAGGACCAGGTAGGCCTAACCAGTTCTTTTTTCTTGTTTTCTTGTCTTTATTCTCATTCTTCTTGTGTTTCTTGTTAAACGAAATTACTAGTACCGTGTCAAAGTGTTTCTCTTTATTCTATTTAATGATGTATATTCTTCTTGTTCTTGTTCACATTTTGTCTTTTTTTTTCTTGTTCTTGTTGTTTTTCCCGTCTTCTTCTAATTTGTTATTATTACTACTTTACTATTATTATTATTAC